TATATATATATATATATGTAGGCATGTTGGTATTTCAGAAGGCAAGTGGTCGAATACATGAAGATATCTCATAAAGGGATAGTTCACTATTGTATTAATAAACTACCATTTATGGTAAGGTCTAAGTCCCATTTATCTTCTACACTTCTCCAACACTCTTGCATTTGTATAGGACTATATTGCATGAGTTTAAAACACTGGATGGAGTTATATAGTTGATACCCCTTTCGGAGCAGGATGATAAATCCAGGTTGAGGTTACCTAGATCCTTGGTGGGATTTGAGTTATAAGTCCACTCATTATCTTGCATTAGCTAGAACAAGGGCATTAGTACTTGGAGTGTGGTACGTCCCCTATAAATTTAAGATAAATCGGGTCCTACAAGTAGACTTTCAACTATCCCATGCCCATTCTAATTGGACCAAAAATATTATCCAGTCATCTTGTAGCACTGACCAAATTGGCATTTGCTGCAAATATAACAAATAAGTGTCCCACTAATATTACAAGAGTTGCCCACTATTTATTTTTGTTTTCCTGGGGTGTATTGTATAACCCAATTACACTTTTGTCTTTTATTCAATAATTTACTCTTTGATGATATACATTTACTTTAATTGTGCACTAGAACTATATTTGATATAAATCATGCTTGGAATACATTAGCAAACTCCTCTATGCTAATCAAGGAGTACGGCCTCCCATGAAATGTCTCCTCTTATTGGCCCAACCACTAGCACTCATCCTCTCCACTAAAAGAAAAATAGCTAGAGGTACTTTCACCTTAGGAGGATAATGCATACTATCAAATATCTTCTCCATCTTCCTCAATTAATCCTTAATTTATTACTCTGGACTCAATTGCACCTTAAAATCTTAGAGGCTCCAGTCTAAAAATTATTTAAAAGTTTTGGTCTACATCACTAGATATAATATAAGGAATCATGCTCTATGTGTCGCCCATTAGCTGGGAAGCCAAACTAACAAACTATGAGATAAAATCAAACCTAATTGTATAAGTGGTACTTTGTATGAGTGTCGTCTGACTAACACTTTGCATGTCTGTCATATCTAGGTAGGGGTGTCAATTTTTTACCCGACCCGGAAAAATCTGGGTTTGGGTCAACCTGTTTGTGAAACGGGACAGGTTTGGGTTTAATAAACTGAACTATTTCAAACATCGGGTTGGGTTCGGGTTGACCCGGGAACTCGAAAATGACCCAGAAATGATCCTGCCCGGCTGCCCGCATTGCCACTTGCTAGAACTACGTTGCCCATTGCGACAAGTGACAGGCTGTCAGCGCCCCCGCCCGGTTGTCCGATTCAGCTTCGCTGTTCGCATGTAGTGTGGCAAGACCCGCTTCGGCTTCGCAGCTCGCGTGCCATCCCCCTGCGCCCGATTCGGGTTTGGGTTTAATTAGTCGCTATGCGTGCCGACTGGCCGCTGGCAGCTGCCGCGATGCCGCCTGGTCCGCCTACGTCCTGCCGTTGCTGGGTCGGGTCGTGTCAACCCGGCAACCCGCGCGGGTCAGATCCGGGTTGAGATAGCCAACCCGTTTATAAAAACTGGTCGGATTCGGGTTGACCTGTTTAGAACCGGGTCAACTTGGGTTCGAATCGAGAACACGACCCGTCGACTATAATTGACACGCCTATATCTAGGTCATGTGGATCTATATTCATACAAAACATGCAATTGAATAGATGTGCATATAAAATAAGTAGAAATGAATGGCCAAACATACCCAAAATTACCTTACCTAACTTACAGATTAATTCCTATAGCTTTATTTTACGTCTAGTTTTCTAAAAAATCATTGCTCTAATACAAAAAAGGGATTGTAGAC